ACCGTTGGGGAGGGTTTCCTCTGGGTACCTAACCCCGAAGATCCATTTAACTGCATTCCACAGGCTGTTCACATGCTTGTCGTTTTCCTTGCACTGGTCATTTCAAGTGACACAGTGCTAAACATCTAGCAAATAAATAAATTAGAACGCAGAGGGTGGGTGAAACAGAGCGAGCCCCTCAAGTCAATGGTTGGGACAGTCAGTGCAACAACAAGCACAGCAAAGACTGTGCGGATGGTGCCAGGTTTTGATCTGTTGTTTTAGGTCACTATGAGTTGGATTTGACTCAGGGGCACCTAACAACATTTGATTTAAGGGTAGATGGAAAACCTTTCTAGGGGTTGAAAGCTTTTTCTGTCACTATTACTCTAGACGGGGCAATGTTTTTCTCTATAGTATATGTGGCCCAAAATTCAGAGTGGTGATTAAATGTTTTTGAAGCCAGATACACATTGCAATAACAACAACAAAAATAGTAACAAATTACTTATAACTTCTATGCCACAAATGACCCCAGTGCTTTATGTATCATTTTTAGTTCTCACAATAACCCTCTGTTTTTTAGCTGAAAACAGAGACATAGAGTAATAATTCACCTATGAAAGTAGGGGGCTGGTGACACAGTGTTTAAAGCAACCACCAAAGAGCCGGCCCTTGGCACCTACCAGCTGCTCCCTTGGAGAAAGGGGTGGCCTTCTCATCGGTGCACAAGCCATTTTTATTTGATGGTAAGGGATTTAGTCTTTTATTTTAACAAGATGAGTATTAAGGCTAAATTCTATCTGTGCTCAGGCAGCGAGGCTTCAGAACCCACAGTTCTAACTGGCGTGGATGAAAGGGTTTGAGTCATCATCATCGCCTAACTGCCCTCGAGTCACGACCGACCCATGGCTGACCCCCCACGGGGTTTCCTCGAAGGAAGACACCCAGCTCTTGGCTGAGCCAATTCCTATTTGTGTGACTTTGCACATATCACAAGAGACGCCCATGCCTCAGTTTACCAACTGAAAAGTAACAAACTTTTCTGTGGTTGTTTTTTCTTGTTGTGTACCGCCGAGTCAGGAATGACCCATGACTGATCCTCCAGTGGGTTTTCAGAGGCAGTTAATCACAGAGGAGGAGACTGCCCATCCTTCTCCCTCGGAACAGCCAGCTGGTAGATTTGAACCACGTGTCTTCGGGATTGCAGCACAGCTTCTTGCCACTAGGTTACCAGAGCTTCCTCATACTGTTGTCATGAGGTTTAAATGAAGCACCACGTGTTAACTGACTGGAAGGTCAGCAGTGTAAATCCACTAGCTGCTCTGCTGCTTTATGGGAGAAGAACGTGTCTGCTTAATACACTACTTAAAAGTATTAATGCAGGGAGCTCTGGTGGCCTAGTGGCAAAAAGCTGCACTGTAACCCCAGAGGTGCACAGTTCGAATCCATCAGATGCTCTGCTGGAGAAAGAGGAACAATCTCCTCCTGTACCCATCAGATCCGATTTAATGGTACACACATACAAAATAATAAAATTTTTTTAAAAAAAGTAGTAATGCTTTAAATGTCATAATTTAATAATTTTAGTAACAAATGCAAGGATGAGTGAAATCCAAGTCAAGTCAACGCCCATTAGGTATAAATACTACTATCACTTAGTGTTATTACTTCCTTTCTCGCCGTGCTCTCATTTCTTTCTTCCTATTCGTACTCCGTGAAGCCCTCCTTTTCCCACATGGTCTCCTATGCATCTTATTTGCTGTCTTTCTCACATTCTAACTCACTTTTTTCCCATTTGAATGCTCCTTTTCTAAATCAAATTCTTTCACATTTACAATTGTTCCTTCTCATTCTCTACGTGATCCCCTCTTTGGCACGCTCACACAATCCTTTCTTCCTCTTCCCAGGTCTACTGTGCTCCTGACTCAGTAATCACTCCTTCCCCTTAATGCTGGCTCAGGCTGCACTCAAGTTTTCTCGAGGTCATCTTCTTTGAGGTCACGGCTGCTTGGAACTCTTAGAATCCAAATCTAGTTATCTACTAGAAAGCACACTCCTGCTCTGCCTTCTCACTCTCCTTCTGCATCCTTTTCCCAAGGTAATAGTCTCCACTGAGAAGTTCAGTTCCCTGAACTAAACTAAATCTAAGTCTTTTTAGGAAGCTCTGGTGGTCTAATGGTAAGCTGTGCCGCCAATCTGCTTTGAGTCCACCAGTTGCTTCATAAGAAAATGATAGGCAATCTCCTCCCGTGTGATTTACCACCTCTGAAAACCCCGGCTATGAGTCAGTATACAACCACCACCAATGATCTTTTTAGTCTGGTTGTATAGCCTATAGTGTGCTGCACTGCTAACTGCAAGTACAGTACAGCTCTGGGCATTAACAGTACAGCTCTGGGCATTAACAGTACAGCTCTGGTGGTTCAAATCTACCTTGGGGACAAAGATGGACAATCTTCTCCTGTTCATATTTACAGACTGGGAAAGGTGATGGAAAGCTGCTAGAAATAAGAATCAACTTGAGTTCAGCAGATACGAGGTCTTATGGGGTTTTTTAGTAAATAAGAAAACAAATTTCTTATGAAGTAATAATTACCTTGTTCCTGGGCATCTTTTCCATCATCTCTCAGAATGTTAGGATTCACTAAAAAGAAAAAGTAATCAGTGATCACTGGCAGTGCACGTACCCATTACACAGCTCTGAACATCCAACTTCCAGGGGTTCAGTAGAGACCTCCAACCCCGGGCTTTAGTGACCTACGAATCCCTTTGCTATTCAACAGGGGAAAAGGTTTCAAGATAAAAGGACAGAAAACAGTGGGTATAAGAAAATTGATGCCTCTGAACTGTGGTGCTGGAGAAGAGTATTGAATGTACAATGAACTGCAAAGAAAACAAACAGGTTCATCCTGGAGAGGGTTAAACCAGGCGGCTCTTTGGAGGCAAGGATTCTGAGGCTACGTCTGATATACTTTGGACATGTCGTAAGGAGGGACAGGTCCTTGGAGAGGGACATCATGCTTGGGAGGATGGAGGGGCAGCGCAGGAGGGAAGACCCTCTATGAGGTGGATTAATTCAGTGACTGGGGTAATCAGGATGGGTGTGTCAGAGAAAGTGCGATTGGCACAGGACAGAGCAGAGTTTAGGGCTGTTGTACATAGGGTTGCTAGGAGTTGCAAGCGACTCGACAGCACATAGCAACAACAACTTCTTGAAAACCAAAGAGTAAAAACCAGTTTCAAAGTAAGTAAGCAATAGAAGCCTTTTCTCCAGAAGAAAATATTAGAATTCTGGATAATTACTAACCAAATCCTGTGCTTTTCAATAAATCCAACTCATGGCTACCCCATGTGCTAAGAACTGTTCCAAAGGGTCCTCTTGGCTGTAATCTTTATGGCCTTGGATCTATGGTGATGGTGAGCAGGTTAGATCCTAAATTTTTAGATTTGTAGTTGTACACAAACCCCTTAGGCCATCCAGAGACCTTATGTGTGATAACCTAACCAAATGTATTGCTGACAAATAGAGTCTGACTGATGGTTACCCCACTGTACCACTGGGCTTCCAACACCATCATCTTTGCAGAACCAGATTTCTGTTACTTTCTCCCATAAAGCAGCAGAACGGCTGGTGGATGAAATCTGCTGATGTTTAAATTAGCAGTTGAGTGCCACTTGGCCTCCTCCTTGGAGAACTGACACATGTGAAGGGTGGTGTTGATGAAGAATGCTGAATACACCACACACAAAGAACAAGCATACACATCCTGGAAAAGTGAAGTCAGAGTGTTACCTACAAGTGAGGAACGGGAGACCTTGTAGCGCACACCTGCCGCCTGCTATCAAGAAAGAGAAGGACATGATGCTTGATGAAGTCAAGGTTCAGTTAAAAACCGAAGACCCTCAACAAGGTGGCCTGACACAGTAGATGCAGTAATGGGTTCAGAGCCAGCAGCACTTAGGAAGCCTTTTGTTCTGTTGTATATGTGGGTCGCCCTATGTACATATGACAGGAGAGGGGGAGGGGGAGGCACCCACGCAGCGCCTTCAAAGCCCTGAGGGCTTGTGGTTTTTACTGTGGGGTCAGAACTGACCTAGAGCTGACCCTAAGGCGGGGTTTTTAGAGGCAGGGCAGACTGTCCACTTGTCTCCCTCCCTCCGAGCAGCTGGTGGATTTGAACCTGGTGCCTCTGGGCTAGCAGCAGAGCTTCTCTCCCTAGGTGACCAGAGGGGCAGTTGCTGGTAGATGCAGCTGAGTGGAGGCCCACTCACAGCGACCCCAGGAACAGACGTGAACCCTGTCCTATCCTGTGCCACCCTCACAATCCCGGACACACGTGAACTCAATGCTGTGGTCACTGCATCAATCCACCCTGCTGACCTTCCTCTGCTCATTACTAGAATACTGGAGTTTAAAGGAGGGAAAAAAGTGAGAGATCGCGGTTAAAACGGGAAAGATGTTCAGATCAACAAGCATCGCATCAGAAGGGAGGAACTCGGGCCTCTTCTGTGTTGGGGGGGTTATCTGACATCCAGGGGCCTCTGATTGATAATGATCCTATTATCGACCGCAGATCGAATGATATGATCTTATTGTGACCACAGATCGAACCCTGCTCTCGCCTGCACCACCCTCTGACCTTCGCCTCGAACAACGCGGGGTGGTCACTCCAGGGCACAAACACGAGCCCCTTCCTCCCTTAAAGGGACACAGGCATGAGGACCACCGGCCACTCCAGACGGCCGGAGGGCGCAGGTGGCCAGCCCCGGCCCTGCAGGACCCCGAGCTGCGCTTCAAGACGACCCAGCAGGCACAGGTGCCGCAGCGAGGCCCACAGGCCACGAGAAAGGCCACAGCGAGCGAGCCGGCCAGCAGCGCACGAAGCGGCCGGCCACGGGGAAGAGGGGTGACCGGAAGTCCCAGGCCTCGGCCTCACACCCACCCAGCGGACGGACACTGTCGTTTATAACCTCGGTCCAGAGACGGAGAGCAGACCCGCAGGCCGGGTTTTCACTACCTGAGCCAACATCACGCCGGCGGTCAGACACGACAGCGGCCGCCATGCAGGAGCGTGGACTTCCGGTGGCTGGCACGCAGCTTCCGGTTAGCCACGTGATGGCCAAGGCGGGTCTCGAACCCGCGGCGAGGCCGTCACCCACGGCGGTGGGAGTAACACGGCCCGCTGCAAGGTAACTGGTGGTCATTTATGGACCACTGCAGGGACCCTACCTCTGGGAAGCTCTGGGCGGAAGGACTTGGGCCGGCGACCCAAAGATGTGCAGTTCGGATCCACCAGTTGCTCTGCAGGAGAAAGATGGGCAATGTCGTGTGCCATTGACGGACTCCAAAAACCCATTGGAAGGTCAGCTTGTGGGTCAGTTCAGATGCGATGGTACAAAATAATACCAAGAGCAAGCACCCCAGTGAAAGGGACCTGTGATGCTTTCACAGCTGCCCCTGGGGCAGTTTCCTGTCCAGTGTCCTTCTTAGTAAAAACTGATGTCAAGGTGGCTCTGGTCTCTTGATTCTAAATGCCTAGTTAGGCAGCCCTGCTGGATCCTGGACCATATGCCTTTATATCATAAGATTTTCCGAAATGTCATGATTTCTATTTTAGAACTAGCTTGTCTCATGTTGGTGTGATAAGCTGACCCAGTGACCTAGGGAACAAGAGCTCGGAACCTCACTGTATCCTGCACCATCCTCCCCATCTCCGATACACTCAGGCCCCTACCAGCAGTCACTATGTCAGTCCATCCCCATCTGAGGGACGTCTTCTCTTTCTGTGATCCTCCACCCTTTCCAGACCTTTCGGTCCCTCCTGACAACAAGCCTAGAGTAGAGAAGCTCAAGTTTCACCTTCCTAGCCTCTAAGGAGTCCCGTGGTTACATTTCCTCCAAGACAGACTTTTTTATTCTCTTAGCAGTCCCTAGAATATTCAGTACTATCCATTACCATCACAATTCAAAGGCATCTATGCAGACCTCAATGAAGAATGAGTAAAAACTTTCCCTAGTGGGAAACCCAAACGTTGGCAGTTCAAATCCACCAGTGACTGGGTAGGGCAGTCTCCTCCCATAAAATTGTTCAGCCTTGAAAACCTAATGGAAGGTTGGTTTGGGGGTTGGGGGTGGTTTAGAACACAAATGGTGATGATTAAGCGAATTACCTTTCTCAAAGCTTTTGGAAATCTGAATTAAGCCCGGATATTCCTTCTTGTTGACATCGCTGAAGAGTGCTTTCAAAAGTGATCTGCTAAATGTCTTCTCCAGTTCACTGAGGACATTATACATTACTCTTTGCACAGGAACCAGGTTTCTACATGACAGTTCAGAATCCTTAAAAAATATTGAATGTATTAAATATAAATACCAGTGGTAAAGTACCAATTCCAAGTTATAGAAAGCAGAAAGTAGTTTTATGGATAATGTTGGTGTCGAATTTCCCAAGGTTAGTATCTTCTCATGTAAAGAAAGCTTAGAATGTCTTCATATGTATATGGCTACCAAATGAAATAATTCTTTAAGACTAAGTTGCATATTTGTTTTTCTCACTCATTTACATGCAAGGCAAGCATGAGCAATTTTGAGGAATTAAAGCAGATTTAAAATAAAATTATATCTATAATGCCCTTTGAGGGAGCTCTGGCAGCCTATAGGTAAGAAGCTGTGCTATAATCCCAAAGGCACACAGTTCAAATCCACCAGCTGCTCCTCAGGAGAAGGATGGGCAGTCCTCTCCCATATGATTAACTGCCTCTGAAAACCCATTGGAGGGTCAGCTGTGAGTCAGGTCTGACTCAGCGGTACACAACAAGGCCCTTTAAGGCTGTGACCCAGGATCTTTTACAAATAGACCTCTGACGAGTAGTCTCTTATCACCCTCTTGCCCCACCTCCCCCTTGAAAAGTCAGGAAGAACTTTATGAAGCCAAGTTGTCAATTTCTACCTACAGTGAACTTGACCACAAAAAAGAGCATAATAATAAAGAGAAGACTTTCTCTTCTTATCTCCAAGAAGGCTTACTGTTGTATTTATCCCAATTCCAAGAGTCTACAAGTGCAAGGGGGAAAAAATTTAAGAAAACAGAAAATAGTTGAAGAGTTGCTCCCAAATTAACAAAATACCAATTTCCCATGATTTTTAATGCTCTCAAATCCAAGTACTTTAAATTGACAATAATTTGAAATTGAATTCTGGACTAATTCTCTTGTTGTATGATTTAAACTTTGGTTTATGCTTTACTGCATGAATTCCTACTGGAGAGCGGGCATCTGTGGAGCAGGCAAGCCTCTGACCCAGCCTCTTTCCAGTCATTCACCCTCCCTCCTGTGGGTGTCATGGAAGGCAGATCCTTCAGTGAGAAGCAGCAGGTACATCCCTGGTGTTGCTTTCTTACTTTCCTTCTACCTCTTTATCTTACAGGAATAGTTACAGCAATACTGCAAAAGCTTCCTCCAGTCTTAGGCAGGCATTCAGTCACCTCGTGTTCTGAAGTCTGGATCCAGAATACGAAAGTATAATGCAGCTTGGGGCTAGTTTGCTAGATTATGGATTTATGAACTTTACTTACTTCAAACAATCTTTTGGTGATGAAGCCATGGTCTCTGAGGCCCTCGAGGAAGGGAAATGTCTTATTGATTGCATTTGAAATCTCCACCTTTTGTTCTTGGTAGTGTTTGAATTCAGCCTCAGAGAAAGGCTTTTCCTCCGTGTTCTCTTCCTCAGTGGACATCCTAGGACACAAGAGAGTGTGTGAAAATGGTCAACATGAGGCAGGATGTTTGTGAAGGTTGGAAGATTTTCCACATAATAGGTTGTGAAGAACTAATATATTTCAGATAAGTGGTTCTGACAAGAAACCAGAATAAACAGCTGAAGGAATAATTGAAGGTGTTATAGAAAAAAAGAACAAAGGGTAAGAAAAATGCATAAAAGTGTCGAAAAAACCCATCCATTCAAAGCTGATATAAAGATCTCTTGACTTAACATATCTAGAAAATGTTTTGCTTCAGAAATATTTAGATTTCTATAAAATTAACAGGGAATAAATAGGCCACCCACAACAGAATGAAAACCATGGAATAAAACTGGAATCTAGGTGAGCTCTGGTGGCCTAGTGGCAAGAAGCTGTGCTGCAATCCCAGAAAGTGTGTGATTCAAATCCACCAGATGTTTTGCTGGAAAAGGAGGGACAATCTCCTCCTGTACCAGTCAGATCTGATTTGATGGCGCACACACACACACACACAAAGATAATAAATTTTATTTAAAAAATTTAAAAACTGGAATCTTAACAACACACAGCCTACACACACACACACACACAAAGATAATAAATTTTATTTAAAAAATTTAAAAACTGGAATCTTAACAACACACAGCCTTGATAATGGAAGTCTTAATTAACAGCTAAGAGAAAATAAATCTCAGAAAATTAAAATTAGATGTTCCTTTTCTAACTTCCAGCTTCCAAGGGAGAGATATCATCCAACATCCTGACATTAGTTCTTAAGTGATCCAGTATGAATTGATAATGCTATAAAGAGATTTAAGAGTAGAATTTCATAATATGTCTAATGCTTTGTACGTGTAAGAATTTCTAAATGCTAAGCATCGTTTGGAGCAGGAATTTTCATGCCATCTTTCCTCCAGTTATTCAGATTTCTGATAAAACAGTAACACCTCCCGTGATACCTAAAACAGCATCCCCATTGCACTCTGCGTACCTTCATTTCTCCTGACATAAAACTATATGTATTTATCCATGCATCTAGTTATTGTTTGGTTCCTCACCAGAAGGCCATCTTCAGTAGGCAGGGACTTGGCCATCTTTATTTCCCATTAACCTCAGCATACAACTCAGTGTTTGGAACATAGAAAATGTCATCAAATACTTTTTAATGAATCAAGTATATGAACATACATAAGAAAATAGGATTAGAATTCTTAGTATAGGCATTCATAGAAAAAAACATAAGGAGGGAAATACTGATCAATTTGAAAATATAAAATTATTCTAAAATATTATTTGGGGATAAAAATGGGAGAGTAGATCACCTCTTGATAAATATGCATAAGTATGTATGTGTATGAAGCATCGTTATTGTTGGGTGCCATCGAGTTAACTATTACCTTTGAGTGATCCTATGAGCAACAAATCTGACCCTTCTTGATTCTGTGCCAACCTCCCAGCATGCTTGGAACCATTATTACAATCCCTGTGTCAATCTGTCTAATTAGGATGCTTCCTCTCTTTAGCTCATCTGCCAGCTCATCAGTCTGTTTCCAAGGACTGGTGCCTTCTGGCAAGGCCAAAGTATGTGGGACTAGGTTTTAGAATCTTTCCTCTGAGGAGGTTGTACTTGTATATTTAATACTTTTCTCTAACATTACGATTCAAAGGCATAGACTCTACTGCTGTCCTTACTCATTGTCCAACTTCAGAGGCACCAGAAGCAGTTGAAGACATCAAGCTTGGATCAGGCACACCATAGTCTTTAAACCAACATCCTTGCTCTTTAGCACATTGGAGAGGTCCTTGATAGCACATTTCCCAATGCAGCATGTCTTTTGATCTCTTGACTGCTGCTATCATAGTTGGTGATGGTGAATCCAAAGCAAAACGATATTTCTGACAATTACAATCTTTTCTTCATCTATCATGACGTTACCTATTGGTTGAGTGGTGAGATTTTTGCTTTCTTGAGGTTGAGATATAGTCTATATTGAAGGCTATAGTCTTGCTCTTCTGCACTGCTACACAGAGGAAGGGAGCAGAGAACTGCTTTGGATGCAGCTTGCACAGCGAGGATGAAGCCTCCTCCTAGAGCCAACACCCCATATTTGGACCTTAAGCCTTCAACTCCACCAGGTGCAGGAACCCAGTATGGTGGCAGCAGGGGAGGCTATAGCCACAATAGTGGGAAAAGAGGCAATTCCCCTTTTTATTTCAAAATACAAATATATTCTCTGTAGATAAAGTAAAATGCCTTTTGGGAGGTATTCAAGACCACCTGAAGAAACATGGAGGGACTGAGATTCCTGAGACAGCAGCTGAGCAGCAGTAATTGTTTCCAAGCTGAGGGGGAGCGTGCTGATTCTGGCTGCAGAGGGTAAGACTGCCAGCTTAGCTTACACAGGCAAAGGAGCAGAGCTGGGGCGGGAACAGCCAGAGGTAGTGAGAGGCAGGCAGGAGGGACACATATCCAAAAACCACACCCATTTACCCTCTCAAAATATTTGTTAGACTTTCCAGAACAAAATCTAGAGAAGTAGGTAAAAAACAAAACAACAACACCAAAAAAACCTCTGAAAAATTTCATTCTGGGGCAAAAAAACCCCCCAAACTTCTGAAAAGCAAAGTGCAATTACCTGCAGGCTTGAGGTGCTGAAAAGCAAAGATCCTCTGATGAAGGAGGCTAAGAAGACATTGTGGAGTTCCTCAGGAATTATGGGGGTTCAATCCTGATGACTCTAGTGTGAGTCAGTTCTGACGTAAGTCAACTGTTTTTCTAAAAATTTTAATTATTGTTTCTTTTTATTATATCTTTATTAATCAAATCCTTGTTTTGGGTGTTGAACTATTATTGTATTTAAACTCTCAGATATATTTTAATGCATATATTGTGTTACATGCCAATGAGTGGGAACTGATCATAGTTTCCCTCCAGTGGCTTTTCAGAGCCTGTAAACTGCACGGGAGGAGATTGCTCATCTTTCTTCCATGGAGCAGCTGGTGGACTCGAATTATTGTTGTTGTTGTTGTTGTATGTACCATCGCGTTGGACTGACTCATGGCTGACCCTCCAGTGAATCTTCAGAGGCTATAAGTCACATGGGAGGAGATTGCCTATCTTTCTTCCATGGAAAAGCTGGTGGATTCAAATTGATGGCTTTTGGGTTGGCAGCGCAACTCCTTAACCCTTTGCCACCAGAGTTCCCTTAATGCATATGCACCTACACGTATACATACATGAAAAGACATAAATAGGTGAGCTCTGGTGGCCTAGTGGCAGGAAACTGCACTGCAATCCCAGAGGTGCGTGGTTCAAATCCACCAGATGCTCTGCTGAAGAAGGAGGAAAAATCTCCTCCTGTACCAGTCAGATCTGATTTGACGGTACACACACAAAAAGAATGAATGAATGAATAAAATTTAAAAAATACATAAATAATAAAAATATACTCTGATGAAGAGTCGTCATTGGACAACATTTGGCATTTTGTCAGTTGCAGTACTAACCCCTTTTGTGGACTTGAATCACCTGGATCACCCCTGTGAAAAGGAGTGCTTTTATGGTCAGAAAGTTTAAAGTTTTCTGCACGGCCTTTTTCTGTTTTCTTCATGTATTCTGTTGTACTATCTCACTGCTTCCTGGATCTGCCCATTACTTGGGCAAACAAAGAAATGTTTCAACCCACGTTTTCAAGCAAGTGAAGCTCTGATTTCATTTAGGAAATGAAATCTATACAGCAGTGGTGTGAAAAGTGAGTCATAAAGTTGAACATCACAAGGGAGCACCTGAGAGGAACAACCGTTTCAGTGTATCATTTTATGTGGGGCGTATTACTAATGATGTTGTTGTTAGGTGCTGTCCAAATAGGACTCCCAGAGACCATATGAAAAGCCAACCTGAACCCTGCCCTATCCTGTGCCATCCTCATCATCTCTGACATCCTAGAGCTTGTTGTTGAAGTCACCATGCCAAAGCCTTTCAAAGGGCACGCTAAGAGAATTCTCTGAGCCCACCAACAATTAAAAGTAACTCTCACCTACAAGTAACAGCACCTGTGTTGCTGTCTCGTGTTCTCTTGAAGGCTACGTCTGCGAGTTGGCAGTACTGTGTGTGCAGGGATGGGGAGGTGGGGAGGATGAAGGAGATTTCCCCCTGTGCTTTGTTTAAAATGTTAATGAGCAAGAATGTTTACTGCATTAAAAAGAAGTATTAAGAAAAATGCAACAATGAATGAATGGAAAGCCAAAAGTCTCTGTAAACGTTCATTAAAATTAATTTAAAAATGTGTATAAATAAAGAAATGTATTACAAGAATATTAAGGAATATTACTTCTGAACAAGTTATTGAGAGGTGGGGAAGTTGGCCTTCCCCCATTCTTTGGTCTAACTCATCCCAGAACAGAAAATTAACAATAAAAACACCGCCCACAGCCAGCACCTTTGCCATCCTGAGGTCTTCGTCTTCTTTTTCACTCTTTGAATCACAAGCAGTGGTCACAGCACTGAGGCCCTGAGCCGTGGATGGGGACAGTCCCCAGCTACCTGTGGTCTGGTCACAGGCTAGCAAGGACCATAAGACCCAGGGTCTAGGCTCAGGTGTTCTCCTGACTGACTCTGGAATACTCTGGAACCCTCTGTGACATGGTCTCAAGGAAAGAAATGGAGTTCAGAGGGCTCTAGAGGGGTCTAAGGTCACTGGAACAAACAAATCCTGCGGGGAAGTTGGGAAGGGGCAGCTGGTCCCCCAGGCCCGCCACTGGACAGTGCTCCAAACACAGGGGTGTCAGGGGCTGTGCTGCTGCAGCTTAAAACCCACATTCCCTCATTACTGCTGTTCTCTCTCCTCCTCAACTTTGGGGCAGCACCGTTACAAGGAGGAGATGAAGGACAGAGGCAGAGACACAGGCTCACCTCGTGCTGAGGTCGTCCTCGCTCCCACCTGCCATGGTCAGCCCGGCCCGCCAGGCCGTGGAGCATCCGGACACTGTTTGTCCAGCTGCCGGCTTGAGCAGGAAGTCTGCGAACTGAATCACCCCAGAGAACTCCGCCCAAGTGCGAGAAAGAGAAGTGAAAATACTTACTCAAAATTAGAGGACACTGCCTCCTACTTAAGCGCTGCTCTCGGCAGGAAAACAAGGTAAGACTCCCCACCTGGCCTCCAGGCCCCGGAAGGGGCAGCCCTAACCAGGCCGCCGCTGGAGGCCACTTGTTAGTGCATGGAGAGAGGAGAAACCTGTTTGAACCAAAAGTTCTGCACCTCTCTGCCTTCTAAGAGACCGCTGGTGTGTGGGTCCCCGTCCCACCTCTGGGGGCCCTGCTCCCTTCCCTCTGAGTCTTCCCTTCCCCAGATGGCCCTGTGGGAAAGAAGGGAGAGGCAGGAGTTTCTCTCTTTCTCAGGCCCACGGGCAGCCCTGCATGGGAATGACCCCAGACGCAGGCCTGGAGGAGCTGAAATGCTCTGTTTTCACCGTCCTCTGTGTTTCTGGAAAGCTGCCAGAGTAAGAGAGAAACTTCTCCCAGACCTGAGGCCACACTCTGGAGCCAAGTGGTTTAAAGCATTTAAAAATCCTGTGCAAATTGCAGAGACAGATGGAATACAATGAAAGCTTGAGACTTCAAGGATAGTTGCACAGATAGCTTCAGGCCATGCCCCTCATCCCTCAATCCCCCAACTCCTAAGATGTTGGTCTTCACCTTCCTCTGCCACTAGGGGTTCTTGACCAAAGAAGTGTCTTAGCTTCACTCACCTGTTTTCTACTTAGGCCTGGGAGGGCTGTGTTGTGCGGATCACCCAGAGTTCTGTTCTCTGTAAGTCTGGGGTGGTTCAGCCTGCACTCCCCTGTTGGAAGCAGAATCCCCTGGCCTTCCTCCCAACAGCCGACCAGCGTGTTCCATCGATATCAGACAGGAGCCCCTGCTTATCAGGGAAGGCCTGCTAGCACCTGCGGCATCAAACCCAAAGTACCACTTTCTTAGGAACGACACAGCCCAAACCTTTACACACTCTTTTGTGCTATCAGAAGCTTAAATAGGCAATTTCTTAAAGGTTTTTTTTTCACTAAACAAAACGACAAAGCAGGTAGTATGCTTGGGGATGGGGGAAGACAGGAATTATTGGAGAATTTCATTAGTGTGAATACTTTTGACCCATCTATAAAAATGAGGTGGAGCTCCAGTGCTAATTCAGAGGCTGGGCCTTTGCTGGTTCAAATGCACCAGCAGCTGTGGGAGAAACGTGAGAAATCTCCTGTACCATTTACAGCTTGGAAAAACCCATGGGAGGGTCAGTCATGGGTCAGGCGGCTCCAACTCAACTGTAATGAGCTTTAGAGTCCAGAAATGTTGTTTGTGAGAAGCCCAAGATGGTTTTCATTTTGAGAGGAGGACATTGCGTGCTACTGTTGAACGTGGAGTTTACATCAAGAGTTTGTTAAGGAACCGTCTCCTTTTCCCTTCCTGTTCCTTCCAGCTCTGACTTCCTGGTGTATCTAACTAGGTTGTAATGGTTCCCAGCTGGATACAGGTGAAGGTTTGCTTCAGCAGAAAAAGCATAGAAGTCATAGGTGCAGAGACCTAGTCGTAGGTGCAGAGTCTGAGGTCAGAGAGCCTTCTCCAGAAAGTCTCCTTTACACAGACACCTGGAGAGCCAGCCCCCCTCCTCACGTTCCTCCCCCACCTGCTGATGCTGCTCCACAGACCAGGTTGCTTGCTGATGGCCAGTAGACCAACAGGGGACACTCAGGCTGAGAGGCCCTTCCAAAAGGCCCTGAGGTCTTGGCTTGATAAGAGGCAGTTAATTATTACATGTTGCTCTGCTCACCAAAAGGTCGGCAGTCAGACCAGCTGCCTTGAAGGAGGGCTGTCTCCTGCCCCAGGGTTTTACAGTCTTTGAAGTCCTCTGAGGGTCAGCTCTGAGATGGGATTCATTGACAGCAGACGGAAGAGACCCCGGTTCTGCTGAAGCTCGCACACAAGGCCTCACTCCCCCACCCTCACCCCCGGGTGGCAGCACACACCTCCTCTCTGAGCCCAGGGAAACTGGATCAAAGGTCCTGTTCCTTTTCCTTCACCGTCAGCTGTCTGGTGGGTGAAGTGATCCCTCCTATTTCAGCAGAATGGACACAAGGCAAAGCTCCCCAGGCTCTGCACCCTCCTGAGGGCCTGCAGCCACTGTTCTCCCTAAAGGGTGGGGACGGGGTAACACTGCACCAGGTGACACTGTCAGAAGAGGTGACATCAAGAGGGGTGTAGTTTAATATAGAAAGATTTTACAAAGCGTTTTTGTTCAGATTCTTGTAAGAAAATATTCTTTAAAAATAAGCGTGTGAAGCCACTGATGACTATATTTACTGTACATTATACTATGACTAAAAAGTATAATGAGCTTTGCTAAGGATTCTGTACAGTCCAGGACAGGAGGCTGTCCTTGTGGGAAAAGTGACATCAACTCCAGTGACTGCTTCCTGGACCCGCCCCCTCCTGTTAAACAGCCTGGGGCTCCATAGAGAGCTGGCCACTGGCCTCTGCTGGTTAGGCTTCTCCATCCCTGTCTCCTGACAGCACATTTCCAGGGTGAACTTCCTCTCCCTTGTAAGATGCCCCCCTTTTGCAGGCCAGGCTAATCGGATCCCTGGGAGGACAATGTCAGTGCAGATGAAAGCACTTCTCCCCCGGCTGCTCCTTCACCACTTGGCTGAGTTGCTTCTTATGCTTGATTCTTTTTTTTTTTTAACTTAATTTTTTTAAATTTAAATTTGTTACTAATTTCAGTAAAAATTTACAGAGGCTTTGGATTTCCATTCATTCATTGTTGCACATTTCTCCCCTCCCAAGGCTCCCCCCCAGAACACCACCCCTCTTGGAAAAGTAAAAGAAAAATTCTTTCATTGTTTTACAAACCCTCCCTCAACTCCATTCCACCATGTAGCCATCGCTAGACTCCTGTCATGACAGAAATCCCTAATCACATATCTCTTTTTTTTTTTCTTCTTATGCTTGATTCTTGAAGCTGCTCTTGGTCGGAGACTGACCCCCACACCAACCTTCCTGCATTCTCTGTACTTGTAGCTCTTGTCATCATTGAATTCTATTTTGTCTAAACCAGATTGAGCTGGTCTGTATTAGGAGAAAGCCCTATTTGATACAGGATGTGTGTGTGTGTGTGTGTGTGTGTGTGTGTGTGTGTGTGTGTGTTACTTCTATAAAGTGTGTTTATTTCTTGCTTTTAAGACCAAGTACTTTCTTTTTTTAATCATTTTTTAAAATTCTAATGAAAATTTACAGAGACTTTGGATTTCCACTCATTCATTGTTGCACAAGACCAAGTACTTTCTAAATGCACAGTAATCATGTCTCATTAATCTTCATGATAATCCATTGAGCGGTGGACTCCTGGCATCTCCGTTCTGATAGTGAAACTGATGAACAGTAGGCAAGTGACTTGCACAGGGATGCACACCCAGAAAGTGAGGACCTGGGGGGTTCCGCCTACAGGGGTCGACCCCACATCTCTGTTCTTCAACGCCAGCCTGTACTGCCGCCTATTTCAAATGAGTGCTTCTGTGACACCAGAAACAACCAGAAAGCAAAGCCTGGTAAGGTTTGATGGAAAAACAAGGCTTGGACAGGGATGATGCTGTTGTTACCCTTCTTGTGTGCTGGCCACTCTGAACGGACCCATAACCGACCCTCTAGCAGGTTTTCAGAGGCAGTACATGACCGAGGAGGAGATTGCCCGTCCTTTGCTTGGGGAGCAGCTGGTGGGTTTGAACCATATCGACAGCACAGCTTCTTACCACGAAGCTCCTAGAGCTCCTAGGGGTGATAGTGCTGTTTTTATACATGTAACAATTTCAAAATACTGAATTGGAAGCTTTGGTTCTAGCACATTTTGTTAATCAAGATAGTATGTTACAGGCATGTCCTCATGTGTGTGCGCCCACACACACACACACACACACACACACACACACAGCAAAGACTGGAATCATTTCTTCAAATGCCTTCATGGCTAGCTTCCATACCAAACGTTATACTTTTATCTTGGCAATAGGAGATGTAAGGAGGCATAACTTAGTATTTACGTTGGAGGAAATAGCATAACATACTTTACACTATTGAATCCTGTGTAAATTTTACTTGTATAGCAAAATTGTAAAATTTCTTTTCTACCATCTGGAGCCTGGAGAGAGGATGAAAGGCACCCAAGCGTCGAGGACTCTCCTTCATAGGGTCGCTGTGAGTTGCCTGCGACTTTATGGCACTTAACAACAATAATATCAACACAGAGAGAGAGATCAGCTGGCCCGGTGGACAGAAAGCGATGCTACCAAGCCAAAGGTGGGTGACTTTTAATCCGCGGCCCTTTTTGTTCAGACATACCTCTAGGTCGTCTAGCCCTGGTGTACAAGTTGCTGTATCACGGTCACTTGTGGTTGCTGTGAGGCTGAACACTGTGACACTGATGTGTCAAATGCGTTAATGGTTGGCTACAATGCGGACAGAGAGTGGGGTGGAGCTCCCCGATTAAAACAAGCTTGGAAGGAAAAGTGGCATCCACTTCCGTAATAGCTTGCCTCCAGAAACCCTATGAACCTGGAGAGAGGATGAGAGACACCCAAGCGTCGAGGACTCTCCTTCATAGGGTCGTTATGAGTCGCCTGCGACTTGACAGCACTTAACAACAACCACCACCACCATCTGGAGTGAATGATTTAACAAGGATTCACACGCCTTGCTCACTGGGTCTCACATACAGTTATCCCTCTACACAATATCGTTTTACTCAGCTCCACGGGCAACATGCATGGAAGCAGCGGTCAGGAGAAGTCGAATTGTGTACTGCAGCGGGCACATCAGCTGCAAAGGACCTCTTTAAAGCGGGCACATCTTCCCTTGGAAATGCTCCTGACCCCAAGCCAGGGTATTCTCAGTCACCTCTTACCTA